AGTGTGTGGGGAGCAGTAAGTAGAAGACAGTGAGTCAGGAACACAACAAGTAAGGAGCCCAAGTGCCTTTTTCTCATAGGAGCTTTGCCTAAATAGACTTTCCAGTCCTGAGTGGACTCAGCCAGGCTCCTGCTAGACTGTGATGCTATGAGTGTGTTCTCTGTGCCTATGTTGTTTCTGGGTCTCAGAATGTGGACAGAGGTACAAAGTCCTGACATGGTAAGAGCTCTGTGGTAGGGGTTCAAAGTCTCTGGAAGAGGGTTTCTCCTCATAGATGATAATTCCACTGTAGAATCATTGGAAATAAAAAGTATCTAAGATGGCATATTGATTTGTGGGGAAAGTACCTGCTACTGACACATGAAGACTTGAATGTAGAACGCCAAAACACATTTAAAATCCAGTATTTTCAGGGAAATCATCAAAAATGACATATTGCAATCTAAATGAAAGGTCTTGGTGAATGCCACTTTGGTTCCTTGAGCTCACTATCTAATTCATAAATATTTCTTCAAGATGTGCAAGTACTATAATTACCCTAACATGAAGTTTGATGAGATTTGTTCATTATGGATCTCAGTGATAAGGTCTATTGTGATCACCAGGGCCTGCACAATACTCACTGGATCTAACATCAACTCCTTGACAGAGAAATGGGGTCCTGAATCTCTCTTAATACTCACACATATGGCTCTTTCAAGAAAAGAGACAAAGGAAAAAAATACAAGGCAGGCAGTATACTCTTTCCCAAATTCCATCTCCCTACACAATATATTTCAGATTCTTCCTATGAGGAGATTGTATTTACTTGACAAGCCTTTCTCTCACTTTCAGGGCAAAAGACCCCAAATATCTTGGAACTGCAGTGCCCTTGTAGGAAAAAAATGTAAGTAGAAAGGTAGTAGATAGCTATGTGCTGTCCTTCCCACAAGAATCAATTTCCCTCTAAGACAGAGATACAAGAAACCCTGACCTAGTCACAGGTAGCTCTGGATACCCTGAGCTATTAATAAATAGTGTCACATTCTGCTTTTCAAGGCACATCATGTGTCAAGGGGAGACTTACTGGCTCTTAGAGCTTTCTGAAATGAAGGCTCATTAGATAAGAAGTCTGAGCATCATGAGGACCTAATGTGAAACCTTCTGTATATCAAAAGCCTCTGTAACCCCAACTCTATGGAAGGTGGAGACAGGAGGATCCTGGGCCTTGGTAGCTGGCAGCTTAATTCCAGGTTTCGTGAGAGATTCTGTCTTAAAGGAATAAAGCAGAGTGACAAAGTAAATGCCCTGTATCCCACTCTAACTTCTGTATATGTGTAAAGGCACATGTAACCCCTGAACATACAGACATGCACATATACATACACACAAATATGTATACACACACACACACAAAGGTTACTGATGTAATAGTCATTTATGTGTATAATATTTTACTCTCTCATGAAGCCAATAAGCTCTCAAAATAAACATTTGTTTTCAAAGTAAGTTTGTTTAGAACTTTAAGGCAAGAAAAATCTATAATGCTCACTTTGCCTTTTTAGTCCTCTCATTCTTTCCAGGTAGAAAAATGTGAGAACAAATAAATTCTTAGCCCATTTGAAAGACACATTAAGAGATTCAAATTTTGTAAAGTGTAGGAAAATGCTCTTGGGGAAAGAATTATAGGCTAGCCTCTAACACAAGCTTCACCTGTTAAGTTACACATTTAACTTCCTTCCATTTGGTCCAGCACTTGGGACACATGTATGAAATGATACAACTCCTTTTTCTCCTTTATAGCTGGGTAACACAGAAACTCTTACCAGCTTCTCTTAGCCCAAAGTGTGTGTAAATGGACTAATATGTGCTTAATAGTAGAAGCATTCCTGGGTTCTTTTTTTTTTTTTTTTTTGGTTTTTCAAGACAGGTTTTCTCTGTGTAGCTTTGTGCCTTTCCTGGAACTCACTTGGTAGCCCAGGCTGGCCTCGAACTCACAGAGATCCACCCACCTGCCTCTGCCTCCCAAGTGCTGGGATTAAAGGCGTGCACCACCACTGCCCGGCTCATTCCTGGGTTCTTTAGAAGACCCACCGCCAGGGCCTGTACCATAGTGAGACTGCATTTGTGAACCAAGGCCTACAAATCTCTGTGCTCAAACATCTTACCAATTAGTGAGAGACAGCTCAGTGCCATCTCCCTTTTTTATTCTCCAAATAAGGAGGATCATGGTTAAATTTTATAACTGTGAACATATTATCATTAAAAGTGAATAACTCGTCTCTATTAGAAGGAATCTAATAAATATTAGAAAGCTCCTCTGAATGCAGATTCACCCACAGCTTTTACAATCCTATGAGATAAGGCCCTTCACTCAGTATGGAGGGAATGGGTATTTATTAATCAGCTTCTCAATGCTATGCTAAGTGTTTCAGGTACACTTTTCTCATTAATGGCTGCCATAGTCTAAGAGAGTCATTTTTATGGTTGTGCATGTGTGTGTTTGTGAGGGAAGGGTTCACATGCATATATGACCACACACATGAAAATCAGAAGACAGTCTTAGGTGTCACCTTAACGAACACAATTTACCTCCTTTGAGACAAGGTCTCTCACTGGCCTGGTGCTTACTGATTAAGCTAAATTAGCTGGCTAGGAAGAGCCAGGGATCTACCTGTTCCCAATCATCCCAGGATGGGATTACAAGTGTATGCCATCATGGCCAGCTTTTTATGGAGTTTTGGGGTAAATGGCAGGTCCCTCTGCTTCAAATGCAAACATTCTTCTGACTGAGACATCTTTGAAGCCTTGAAAGTAGAATTAATCCACTTAAGCATGAACTGGACTTATTTCTTGGCATATGATGAGTGGAACATGGCAGAAATGATAGGCTACCATGTCCAAGATTAGGTTACAAAAAGACTTTATTTTTATTTGGGGAGTTGACATTATTATTATTGACTGACAATTTGACAGGCTCTAGAATCAACTCAGGGCATGTCTGTGAGAGAGTTTCTACACTGTGTTAATTGAGGTAGGAAGACTGACCATCAGTGTGGGTGGTACCATTCCACTGGCTGGAGTCCTGGACTGACTAAAAAGAAAAAAGTGAGCTAGGCATTTATCGCTCTCTGTTTCTGGACTGCAGATTCAATGTGCCCAGTCAGGTGCCTCAAGCTCCTGCCACCAGGACTGTGCCCTCAAACTACAAGCTGAAATAAACTCTTCTGTCTGGAAGTTGAAGGGAGAGACCCTGTCTCAAAATAATAAGGTGGAAAGTGATAGAGAAGGACATGAAATGACCTCCAATGACCTCCTGTTTACACTGCCTCACCATACATACACACTCGAGACTTTCCCATTAGCTGACCAGACTGACTATTATAATCTTTAATATTTAACTTGATTTTATCTAGTCTATCAGAGTAATGAAATTCACAGACCAATGGGAAAAGACTGCCATCTAAACAGAGAATAATACATTATAGTGAAATTTGTGGTGGATGATGGTCTACAGCACTACAATGGAAGATTTGACTTGGTTTATTTATGTGCAGATTGCTCACAGGGTCTGTTGACTGATCCCAGATGCCTCAGCCCCAACCTTGTCATATGGTCCAAACTCATTCAGTACTTGCCATCTTAGAAAAACATGTTAGTTGATGCTACTTGATGACCAGGAGATACCCATAAGTCAATGGAGAATGTGGGAAAAGGTTATATTCTTCCATGTTTAAGAAAGAAGGCCACACATAACAAGATATACTTAATAAATTTAAAATGTATTTGAAAGACCCTAAACCTTCAGGCTTACACCCCCAAACCCCAGGAAATAAGGAACTAAAAAGAAAACTAGTTCCAAGGGCCACCTGACTTAGCCATTGTTCAATCACCCCTGTAGCAATGTAACAATGTAAAAAGATTTCTGTTAAGAGATGTGCTCAACTGTGACTGGGATAGTTGCAAGTGTTCCAGGAAGGACCACTGTGACCATTGTATAAACTCCACTCCTGCCCTGATACCCCCCTTGAGGTTTCAGGAAGAATGTACATGCGGACGTGACTGTACCCACTCTGTGAACAGACTATGATCTTGTGAAGCGAAATTGTATGGGAATTGTAATCTTATGGCTTTTGTGGGTTTTTCCTTTAAAAGCACCCATGTGTCTACAATAAGATGTGACTCTTGCTCTCTGGAGCTGAGTCTCCCCAACTGTACAGCGGCATTAATAAACACCTCTTGCTGCTGCATCAACTGGACTGGAGTCTGGGTTCTTGGGGTGCCCACTTGATACCCTAGATTTTGGGGTCTAACAGTATTTAGGAAATACAATTGTTAGAGCTCACTAATTTATATTAAATAGAACATAGGGACTATAAAGAAAATCCCCAAGATCTTATAGAAACATAACATGGAAGCCAGATAAATTCTAAACAAATTCTCAGCTCTATCATTTTGAATTATGTGATTCTGGAGACATTTTTGTAACCTGCCATTTGCTAATGTGTAAAGTTTGAAAAACAGCCTTTTCCTGGAGTGACTATGGTAAAGACAATACTCAATACTCTACACAGGACTAAGCAGACCACTCCACAGATGATATAGAGGATGCTAAATACTCCTAGATAGGAAATCTCACATCCACTTCCATGATGATCCTACAGAGAAACAACTGAGAGATTTGTGGAAGTACACGTGGTTAATTAAGACTGTTTCTGTTTCTCTAATTAATGCATGAGAGGCAGAGAAACCCCCTTTGTATTTATAGTCAACTTGCCACCATAGACCACCCGTCATCCTTAAGTATGAACTGGTGTGTTTTAGGGAGAAACTCAACCTTGGTTGACTTAGGTTGAAGAAATACCATTATAAAGTAAAGAAAAGTGAGGAGGAGAGGTGGAAGGTGAAGCAGGAAAGGAGAGAGAGGGTAGGAGAGAAGGAGGAAAAGAGGAAGAAAGTAAGACAGATAAGGAAGGGAAAGGAGGGTGGGGGGATTAAATGGAAGTCTGCAATGACTGTACCTGTAAGGATTTCAGTTCCATGTCCTGCCTCTTTCTTAATCAGGAGCCTCAGCGTCCCACCCTCCAACATGAGCATCAGGGTCCCTGAGCCTTCAGAGAGCTCTGTGGACAGAAGCAGACCATCCCTGTTCCATGTTCGAAACTGGAAACTCACTGACAGTCCATCAATCTGGGGGGTGCCGGGCAGCAGCAAATAACTGCTTCTGGGGTTGACAAATGTGATGGGGACTATCTGTGGTTCTGAGCAGGAGAAAGTAACATTGCCCTGAAAAACAATAAAAAAAAAGCAAACATATAAAAGCCATTTTTTATTCCACAATCTGACAGTCGGTATAAACAACCACACAGCGCTGACCTTAATTTCAGGATCTTTCCACATTCAGCTTCATGATCTTAAAGGGAAAAATATGTTATCTTTGCTCAGACAGACTCACAAGACTCCTTGCTGTTCATGTCCTAAGATTCCAGTGCTATCTATCTGTAAAGGCAGTCTGAGATTCCAGGGAGAGGGAGGAGAAAGAATCAACACTTTTAGGGAAACAAAAAACATAAAAATAATTCCATTAAGACCCCGAGAAAAGCTGTATGGTGAGTCAACCATGTGACAAACTCTGGAATAGCATTGAAAGCAATACACATAGGAAAATACTGTTACAAAGAGGAATGTGACAAAAGGGAAATTAATCCTGGCTCCCAAGGAAGAATGGCATGAAAAAAAAAAAAAGAGAGTGATGAAAAGGTTTTCTAAGCAAATGATGCTTTCATGAAAGTGAGATGGGCAAGGAGAGGGAGGAGTGTGCTGTGACTGTCATTGTCTGCAGAGAATCGATTGTAAAACCTTGGAGAATTAGCAAAATGAAATAACTGGGCAACAGCAGAGATATGGAAGGAGCTAGAAAGGCAGTAAATGCCGAGGACAGAAGACAGGGACAGAGACCAACACTAAAGTGATGTTGGCTACATTTCTAACTTAGTAAGGATATTTGCCATTGCATGGGGAAGAAACGCAAGAAGAGCCGAACATGGGACTCTAAGAGTGTGTTAGTTGGGGATGTAGTGCACTTTGCCGAGGGCTGGCCTAGCATACACAACAGCCTAGTAAATTCCGAGCCCCACACAAGCTAGGCCTGGTGCTGTCCACCTGTCATCTCTGTTCTCAGGAGTCAGAGGCAGAAGGCTCAGGAGTTCACCTTCACCTTCGGCTACTTATTGAGTTTGGGGCCAGCCTGGGCTACATGATACAACAACAAAAAGAACCAGTTTTGACCAAAATAGAGAAAACAATAAGCAGATTACTATTTGCAAGGACCCTTGTGTATCCAAACCAACAAAACATGTTTCAAATTAGGAAGTTATGATGAACTGAAGAATGAATTTATGTGTTCCACCCCACATATTGTCCGTTTCTGTAGAGGAGTGGAGAATAAAAGGCTGGACTAATGTTTGAACAGTGGAAAGAGTTCTTTTGTGAAAGACATTTTGTGTTTGGATAACAAACTCTACATCCAAACATGTCATACCTCCATTTGCACTACACATCTCCTTTAGACTCTGAAAACTAATCTCCCCAGAAATAAGTGCCCCTCTGCTAATGCCATCCCAAAGTGCCACACATCACATCCCCTGCAGAAGCATCCTTCCAAAGCCATTGAACAGCAGCTTTTGCATGATAGGGCTCAATTTCTCTGAACCTTCTACCCAAGCCAATAGCATTTGTGGAAACCAGGGAGGGCTCCTCAGGGGAGCATGCTATCTGGAGCAGTTGCCTGAAATCAATTTCCACCCAGAGTCCAAGTATCAGCAGGAGATACTCAGTGCAGATCAGGAAGCCAGAAGTCTAACCCACAGTAGCACTTTCCAGGAAAGACATTCCCAGGCCTTTGATTCAGCGGGTAAGGCACTTGCTATGCAAGGATACCAACTTGAGTTCAGGTCCTCAGAATCCAAATGAAAATCCATATGTCCAGAGTGCACTTTCAATCCCTGAACAAGCAGGTGAATACAGTTGTGCATTATGCACCTGCAATGCCAGAACAAGCAGGTGGATACAGGTGTTCAGTGTGCACTTTTAATTCCAGAACAAACAGGTGGATACAGGTGTGCAGTGTGCACCTACAATCCCAGAACAAGAGGTGGATACAGGTGTGCAGTGTGCACCTACAATCCCAGAACAAGCAGGTGGATACAGGTGTGCGGTGTGTACCTATAATTCCAGAACAAGAGGTGGATACAGGTGTGCAGTGTGCACCTCTAATCTCAAAACAAGCGGGTAGTCAGTTTAACCAAATAGATTACACAAGCAGATCTTCTCCCTTCTCTGTCCCCAATCCCCACTTCCATCCTCATCACCACATCTCACCTCTCAACTTGGCCAGAAACCCCTTCTGCATCAAAGGCCAAGCTATCCCCCAGAAGTTTAGCCCTCAGCTTGGACAGAGACTCCCTGCTAGACCATAGTACATGCTTGCTTCCAAAAATTTAGACCACAACAAGCAGAATTCCAAATGGAAAACAGAAACCCAGGAATAAATCATCCATCCAACAAAGACAAACTCAGAAATCAGCACCCAGACCTATAATCATCCCAAACTCAGATGCCTAAATGCCAATTAAAGAACACAATCAACAACAGCTGGGACAATATGGTACCACCATAGCATAGGTATCCTATGACAGTAAGATATGAATATTTCTAAGCAGCTGAAAAACCAAGACAACGACCTTAAAACTAACTTTATGAAGATTATAGAGGTCCTTAAGAGGGAAATTAAACAATCCTTTAAGGAAACTCAGGAAAGCCAGGCATGGTAGTACATGCCTTTAGTCCCAACACTCCTGAGGCAGAGACAGTTGAATTTATGTGAATGTGGGACCTTCCTTGGTCTACAAAGAGAGTGTGAAGACAGCTAGGGCTCTGTTACACAGAGAAACTCTGTCTTGAAAAAGAAAGAGAGAGAGAGAGAGAGAAAGAAAGAAAGAAAGAAAGAAAGAAAGAAAGAAAGAAAGAAAGAAAGAAAGAAAGAAAGAAAGAAATGCTATGGGATGGTCTGTATGTCAAATCTGTTGCTCTGATTGGTCAATAAATAAAACACTGATTGGCCAGTGGCTAGGCAGGAAGTATAGGCGGGACTAACAGAGAGGAGAATTGA